CGTTGTGGACACCAAATTTGCACGATATTGGCACCATGTGCGCACTATATGCGAACCCTGCGCACACTACTGTATGGGTATCATATGTTAACGGTGTGGGGGAAATATATGTCCAAAGCGTTGGTACCCCACAGGCGCTGTTGTTGGTAATAAAATTCAAGAATGGACTATATTTTGACTGATTTTAAAGTATTCCTATACAACACATGCATAATACATTTTGTCAAAAATAGATTATATTAGATACAAAATTGATACATTGGTTGGTATATATTTCAAATCTTTTGAACGCAAATATGTGGCATTTGATATCGTTTATCGCTTTTCTGGTTGCTTTATAGTGAAAGTTAAAAATTGATTGCTTACTTGAATATTTATTAGGATGTCTCCGGCCTTGATTATTGAGTCTTTGTAGCTACTTTTATATGTTGATGAAGAACATGACTGTATGAATATAGACTTATCATTTGGGACTTGCATAATAGCAACACTTAATATGATATGATGGGAGGGAAGTAATTAATTAATTACGGTAAATAAAATGTCTTATAGTCATTTAAACAGTGCTTTCATAAACTGTGTACTATGTTGTCAAATATATTGGATAATCAACAACTGATGATTAATCACGATCTTCATCTAGATATTTAGTTTCTCACACGACCCATATATGGATGTGCGTTTCGTCTTTTTCATATCAGCGAATGTGGTGATTTATCGTTGTAAGGGACAGCTTGAATTTCTAGTAGAGAATGATCGAAGCCACAGCAGATCTCAGAAAAAGAGAACAGGATAATGCCTCCTTTTCAAAGTATGGCTTTGTTCCCACGCTGCGTACTACAAGTTTACATAATTGAAGATAACTTCGAAAACAAAAACTGAATGTTCGCTTTTCATGTCTCTAGAACAGTGATCAATTTAAATTTCATTGTGTTTGTCATTGAAATCGACAAACATACCTTACATAATATTGGTAGTGTTCTTCAATTGTCAATGAAACTTTAATATCCAGCTGGAAAACACGATCATTTTTCAATCGATTAACGTTTTAAAATAGAAAAGTACATACTTCTTACCGTGATACAGCAAGTGAGATGTAGGTATAAATCACACCAAATTGCTTTCGTGGCTCGAATGTGAAGAAATACTTTGTAATCATTGCTTTCATTTCAATAAATAAAAGTGCAATCTTGACAATGTGAAGAAATGATTTATTAAAGAGATGAAGATATTTGAACTGGTAATCATATACTATGTTGTTAAATGTTATTAACTCGAAGCATAATATTAGGTAGGCCGCACTCATTATATATAAAAGTGCAGAAATGTCAAAACATCTTACAGATATTATCAAATGAATTTATTTAATTGCTCAAGTTTGTTTTATAACCTATTTTTGATATTTTTATTTAGACAATATTTTAAATACCAATCTTTGTCTTTCTTATTGTGTTTTCCCTCATTCTTTCTCGATATTTTCTTTGTATTCTTTCTGTTCTCGGTGGTGTATTGTGGCTCGTTATTCGCCACCTTTCTGCCCCCTACCCTGCCGATAAGAAATAGATATTATGACAAGAATAAGCGTTATGCGTTTATTAAAGATGACTTTTTTTTTTATAAATTCAATTGATAATTCACTTTTTCCCGTGCAGTTTACTTTCTATAGGCGTTTACCAGTTTGCACGTTTTTCTCGTCCAGCCATCCAATTCGACAATGAAAGTTTATTTTTCAACTGTTGGGTCACTCTGTTGAGACCAGTGAACAGTAAAAACAGCATTATAACGTTTTAATTTGTAATTAATGCTATGCCGAGGCTCAATGAAAATGACCGCCTCCGAATTATTGGTATGCGCTACAAGTTGGTATGGGCCAAGCCGTTGTCTCTGCACGTGTTCATGTCCATCGAAACACAATCCGGGATTTGTGGAGACGACATCAACAGTTTGACCACGTCGGCGATCGACCTCGTGCGGGACGTCCACGTGTGACGTCACGTCAACAGGACAACATATTCGGCTTGTCCATTTAAAAAATCGCTTCCAAACGGCATGTTTGACTGCACGGACAATCCCTGGGTTGCTACCAATAAGTCCGAAAAATGTACGGAACCGATTGTGTGAACGATCTATCCGTCCGCGACGTCCTGCGATTCGCCCAGTTCTTCTGCCACGTCAGCGTGTAGCACGTGTGGACTGGTGCAGAAGGCATCTACGATTTACTCGACGGGATTGGGCAGGCATGTTGATTACGGACGAGTCGCGAGTCCACCTTGATAGTAGTGACGGCCGTTCCAGAGTGTATCGTTGCGTTGGAGAACGTTTCCATGACGCGTGTGTGCATCATTATGATTTGGAGCGGCATCACAGCCAACGGGAGAACGTCTCTGGTGGTTGTCAACGGGAATTTGAACGCGCTACCTTGCCGTGACGAGATCCTCCGGACCAACGTCGTTCCATCAACGTCACATTATGCTACAGCAGGACAACGCCAGGCCACACACAGCTCGTGTCGCTATGGACTTTCTGGCCCAGCAGAACGTTGACGTGTTGCCCTGGCCTGCTGTATCCCCCGATCTGTCACCCATTGAACACGTCTGGAATGAAATGAAGCGCAGATTACGGGCATATCTTAAAAAAATCAACCGGTGACGTTGACTGATTTGCCTGCAGCGTTGGTACAGATCTGGAATGCCATCACTAAAGCATTCTTGAACCGTCTGAAAGGCTCCATTCGTCGACGTTGCCAGGCATGCATTCAGGCAAACGGTTGACATACGAGGTATTAACTTTGTGATCTCAGTATTGACCCCTGCTGTGTGTACGTCACTCCTGAGCGTAACATGTTGATTCCATAACGTGGAAAATGGAATGCAACTGTTAATAAATAACAAATAAATTGTCCCTGAAAACCTTGTTGTTCTTCGTCATACACATTTATTTTTATAATACATTTTAGGCATGCACAGTTTCTTTTTTCCGCTAGTATAGTTTAGTCAAATACGATGTCAAAGACCTGTTTTTAAAGGCACGTACAAGTTCTTGTTTTAACGATATACTTTGCTTCAGTTTTTTCTTTGAAAATGACCATAGAATTCAATGTTTACTTTATAATCACTGTATTGTGGTTATTACAAATCTGATAACGATTGATGTACATCAAAGTACACAAACATGTGCTCAGATAGAACTCGGACAGTTATCAATTATCAGATAAAAGTCATTACACGTTTTAAAAGAAGTTATAAAGATTTTTTTTATTATTTTGTCTTGTTTACAGCTATGGTCATTTAAGGACGAGCCTCCATGTGTGAGGGGCCGCGATGGCCAAGTGGTTAAGGCGTCTGACATTCTGCTACCATAAGCCTACCACCACAGGGTCGCGGGTTCAAGGCCTACGTGGGGCAGTCGCCATGAACTGGTCGTTGGTCGGTGTTTTTATCTCCGGGAACTCCGGTTTTCCTTCACCACAAAAACCTGGCACGTCCTTAAATGCCCACAGCTGTTAATAGGACGTAAAACACAAAAATGTATACGTGCTTCGATGTTTGTGTGCTGGAGGCAGGGTATGTTGATGTATTTGCCTCCTTGCGACAGTGCTAATGATGGCATGTGAAAGGTAGCATATACCACGTAATGTTAAATACATGTATGTATTGTACTTTGTACAAATTACTGTGATTGCGTGTGTAAGTATATCTATAAAAACACAGAGAAATGTTAAAGGAAGCATATTTCCTTAAGTTTCATTATTTGTTCCCCAACATTTTGACGACAATTTGCTGACTCGATCAGGAATCCAAGAATCCAACAGACATCGTCATTATATAATTACATCAGTATATATATATTGCATACGTTTTTTCTATGCTTCCATCGTATCGCCTTCAAATCGTAATTATTCCCTATTCCCTAAGCATTGTGATTGTTAGGCGTCACCTCTAGGCTGAAAGCCCGGCCATGAAAAGTAAACAACAGTTGGATTAGGGCACCATCAACCTAGGTTAATACATGTAGGAAATTTATGGTGATTGTCTGGGTTGCTAATGGCTACGTATTCAATTAAATCGTTCATTTTATGTGAGCGAAGAAAGTGGATTGAGAACATCTCTGATCACAACTCCAAAACATCCCAACACGTAATTAATTAGGGGTTGAATTGAAATAAAATTGTTGACTTTTCAACATAGTTCACCATTGATACATCCAACGGCAGAAAAAATATCGTTATTAAGTGGTGTGTTCATTTTCTGATTGACGTATACTTGTACAAATATTTGAAATGTGAGCTCTAATTTACCATTAAGCTAATATCAGTCACGTAGCTAGTCTTTCTTGTGATTTCCCGACCGATGATGAGAATATTAGCGATTGGTTGAAGCAATTTATTAGCTCTGTAAAAAAAACTCAGTTGACATGCAACCTCTAAATAAACATTAAAGTCATTCTATCTGATAATAGAAATTGTTGTTAATCTGAGTATAATCAATGGATTTCCATTTCGGGGTTTCCTCTAGATACTGTTGTTTTATCATTAATCTTATAGGCAAACATATCAGGTATGCGTGTCACAATAGGGAAAGTCCTCACAATAATAATCGACCATGTGATTTATTTTATTGTTAAGATACGGTAATGACAGGATAGAGTTTATGGCAGCCATGTATGTGAAATGTGTGTTACTGGGTAGAATAAGGTGCAATATGTAAGTACATTGTATAAAGCACATGGACACCTAGCTGTGCCATTATTCTGTATCGGTTCAGAATTGTTTTAATACGTGAGGAACGTTGCAGCTCATTCAACGAAATCTAGAATTTGATTTGAAAAAAGAAATGCAACAAGACTAATGCATTTAGTGTTTGTGAGTGATAAACTGCCCCCGCCACCACAACCCTCTCCCATAACGTGTGTTGACTTTATATTATGATAATTATGGTATAATTAACATTTGTTTAAGAATTTGGGTATTTTAAAAATAAAAATAAAAATCTCGATTTCAGGGAACACTGACCTTGTCATCAAATGTGATCTGCATGAGAAAATGCTTAATCCAGCACAGCTACCATTTCATGGACAATTTGTAAGTAAACTACCAATGCAAATATTAAATTTATATCAAGATGCTCTACTACAAATAAGATGATTGGCTATAATATACGAAAAGTAATCAAAACTGAATATGAATATGTATGCCACTTGCAAGATGGAGAAAGTTGACATATTTCTCTGGCCCCAAATCAGATCAATCATCCTTCTATTCCTTAAGATTTACTTGGTTGCTGTTGATTATTTCCATTAAACACAGGAATTCGTCAGGAAAACTTAGCATAACCACCTGTGTGATCCTGTATGTCCTATCCTTTTATCATATACATGTACCTATGCAAGTTTCCATCTTCAAACCAGGGTCTTTACTCTGTGATTGTTTAAGTATTTCTTCTATACTAATTATTGAATCATGTAACTTAATTGATACTTTTTAATGAGTATATACGTATACATGTATCCTATCTATTTCAGTAATCATACGCATCGTCGTTTTGAACATTTCCCCGATATATAATTGTTTCAAATACAACAAGCAACATAAAATACGAAAAGTTTAAGCGAGAAGAGTTGATCCTCTATGTACAATTAAAGGTATTAGGTCCAACAAGTGGTTTGCTTGCTGTTTAGTTAAGCAATGTCCTCTGATATTGATGAGGCTTAATTTATTTTACTAACCCTTTGTCAAAATATGGATATCGTTGCAGGTCGTTAGCGGCAACTGTTAATATTGGAGATGGGGATATAAAGCCTTCTTAATAGAAAAAGATTGTTGTACCTTATTGCGCATCTTCAAGCCTGACTGCTACGTTGGACATAGTGACTTGAGCTCTACAGACTAGATTTGACCTTCTGTTTCAGTTTAACAGCATACCAGGCGATACTTGAAACTTAATTACATAATTTTGCGTGATTCCTTTTTTGTTGTTTAGGACACACATGCATGTACACTTTGTACGCCAGACCCTGCATGATATTATTTAATGGTTATCAGTTGAAGACGCTTAAGTATAGCAACACATCTTTCTATTATTTCAGACCTTACATCCTGACTCTGTTATGATGAAAACTTTCCCAACAACCAGTAAAGCCCTTGGCTTATCATTGCCTATATTCAGGATACAAGTAAATGGATTAATGAATGCAAGTGCTATATGCGACTCTGTCGTCTTTGGGATGGTAGGTATAACTAAACGCAAATACTGTAGATAGCATGGTCGACCAAGCTGATTATAGAGTCAATGTTAATTCGTTGTACTTTATTCCATAATTTCTTTACAAATTGAATCACTATCATATCAAAATGAACATTCAATTGACAACATGCCGATATTAGTGATTCGTTTAACATTCCAATGCCAACTAATTGATTACATTGATAGTCTGGCAATGGACTTTAAGCTTTGTTTTTCACCTTAAAATCAGTCGCTATGATCATTTATCTAATCAGGTGTACCTGTTTCGAGCTGCATTGAGCGAGTGTTAAACCAGTGCAAATTCATAGTATAACACGGAAGCAGAATTCTAAGATAGGGTGAATAGACGAGCGCTGGATGTCACAGTATATTGTAATTGTAAAATACGTATCTTTTATTAACTGTGATTACTTTCAGAATCACTACTATCAATAAGGGTCCACCAAGGTTCGAGAGCTTTGCGATATCTAACATACAGCGTTGTTAAAGGGACGCGCTGTCTATTGATATACCAACGACCGTGAGATCGCGACACGATGCTAATAATATTAAAGTAGTCGTATCTAGTGACTCGTGTTATGTCGATAGGAAACATTATAGCGTAATTACGACGATACTGCTATCTCATCGTTCGACACCAAGATAGGTTATAGACACCATGGAAAGCCGCCAGATAGTTGGATTATTGTATACACCCGTCCTTATTCTGTGCAATAACGACAGCGCTGAGACAATTTGATCGATATTTAATTCATTTTAATCCGTTCACTGTCAATCTGGCATATCCTATTAGTTGGCTTTGTCATGTTTCCTAACCCTGTATTAGGTTCTGCTTGTTTTCCCTGTCTTCCTCCAATTAAGCGGCAAACATTTGGCTTTCATCACTCTATACGGACACGCTGAAGCGTCTATACCGTCTACGTGACATTGATTCGCTCACAGTAGCGTATCTGTATATACATTTACCAGTGTTCTGAGTGAGAACCTGTTGAGTGATGGCGGATTGGAGTTTTGTATTCGTATGATTGATTAAACCGTATGCAAAAACAAAAACGACAAGCAGTTCGTCTTTTAAAATTTCCACTTGGATATTACGTTATACATTCAAAGTCACATTTTAAAATCATTTTGAAAAGCCTATTAAACTTCCTACTTTTATCCCTTTTTATTACACGCTTGGGGTTCGGAATCCCTGAACAAGAATCATTTGGTTTTATTGTTTCAATTGTTTTGAAGTGCCAGTAATTCAAAATTGTATTAGCCTTGATCTTGGTATGATATATGATGGTCCTTTCTATACCTTTGATCGGTTCAATACGCCTTACTGATTCGTCGTGAAATATATTCGTTAGGAGTTAACTGTGCTGAATATTAGCAAATAAGCACAAATGAAAATCTATGCGATTATTAATCATACAAGTGTAATACGATATATGAATAAAGAACTCCCTCGATAGATATAAATAGTTCCATTCCCAATATATACTTGAAGCATTATTGGTATTTATAGCATTTTATGAATATAAACACTGTACTTTTATCATTATTTCTAGTCGTCGATCACTCTCAAATAATGTATTATGGCTTTATATGGCTCTATGGTTTTAATATGTCAATACACAAAAAAAAACCGGCGTGAATACCAAAAAGTACAAGAAATTTAAGTCAAAATTCATGAATGAGGCTTATTAGTATACAAATGTGTATTAGGTACTCCCTCGGCATATAGTGACATTGTAGGTGTGTTTATGAACCATATATTGGTATGTATAGTTTTTATGACATTTATATTATATAATCTGGTCGTCGATCACTTTGAAATGCTGTGCTTAGTCGTGTATGGTACATTAGTTTGCATTTTTTTTTTTAGTAAAAGCAGTAATTGAACTCAGAGTGGATACTGTAAATACAAAACAGGGGTTGAGAAGATATCAAAACAAATTGAAGGAAATTACTTTTCATTTAAGAAACCTTCCGTTTTCGTACAAAAGTTTGGGTTTAGTTTGGGCATTATTTGCAAATCATTAAATCAATATTGCGGTGGAAGTAAATAACGTTTAAGTAAAGTGGCTTGTGACTTATAAGGTAATTTTAATTCCTGTTGAAATTGTGATACTCATGTTTATAGTGTTTGACACCCTTCTTATTCCATTCCTGCTACGCTAAATTGATACAATATGGGATTGTGACATGCTTCATATGGTACAATGTACTCCTGTTTGGTATTCAATGTCTGACAGTCCACAAGATGTCGTATTTTAATTGATTTGAACAACTGACGTAATAGGAATTTGGAAAGGATATATAATACACTTCGTGGTTTTTAAGTCTACACTTTCGCCGCAGAGCAATCCATCCGTAATGCAATCAATGTATCGCAAAGAGTGCACCTTCTCAAAAACGGTCAAAGGTGATATGATGCTCAAATGTAAACAATCTTTTTAAGTGTCACGCGGAAATATTCAGGTGTCACCACAATGTCAGTAGCAGTACAGTCATATTAAGGGGAAATACATGTATATGCATAACAATACTGCGAGACTAACGACATGGTAAATGCAAGAGAAATTTCGATTATAGCGAATTCTACTGTTAAAACAATGTGTGGTTATTGTCAACGTGAAAAATAATTAAATTGCGAGCACTTGGATTAATGCAACGCATACATTTATAACATTTTGATGTTAACTGCGAAGATCTTCATAGCTTCTTTTACTTCTCAAAACGCGTTTATGACCAGTGTTCACCTTGCATATCTGATACAGGAATAAGAGTTTCACGTTTCAAAAATAGATCCCAAACGTTAGTTTTGCGTCCTTCAATGTTTTTTTCGGTATATACAAAACTTTCTTTGGTTAATGAAAAGAGGAAACGATTTAATTCTGTGGGATCAATGGAAACGATGTATCGATCTTATTTGAAATAAGAACATGTTTTTATTACCTTACCAATGATTCATGCACAGAGTTGTTGATATCCATTACGTCATGTCAAATGTTCTTCGGTTAGTGTCTCGTCTCGTCACGCTAACCACTGGATACTTATTCTAGATCACATGACACATGTTTAAGTTGCCAAAAATCGTCCACACATATATACTCATTGCGTGACATGACAATTTTTTCTTGAGATATATCAATGCCCTTAATGTATAACACATATAAAATATGACATTAGGTGTACTCTTCCTCTACATTTGACAGAAGACATAATTACGGGTATTACAAAGGGTACAGATGCTACTTCCAATCTAACACACGATTTCGTCAGTTCGTTCTTGTTGACTTGGGTTCTGATTTTTTCTTCGTAAGTTAGAATATATGGTACGGAGACAGAGACAAATTTAGCATTTAACATTCGTAGAGATAAACGCAGAGGGAACTGACAAGTTTTACCGTAGGCCTGAATACAAAGCACAGTTGCTTACACTAGTTACATGTAATGGGAATGCACACGTTTGTTATTGCTGTAACATACATCTCTGTGTCAGAGTCCTTAGCGAAACGGTGTAACACAATTGAAATTGTGAGTATTTATGATATAGACATTTCATATATGAATTTCTGTCAGAGCAGGTAGTTCTAGTTCCGCAGCAGTCACCATACGTGTTTATCAGAAATAGGCAACGACAATTTCATTATTTAGTATTTATAGCAGAACTTTGTTTTTTCAAAATTGTTTTATGATTTCTATCTATGGAAACTAAAAACTATTGATAGAAATGTCAAAAGAATGACATCAGTTTTTAAAAGGAGCGATTTGAGACATACTTCTGGCTTTCAAAGACCCGGCCCATATTCAGGAAACCGCTATCATGCTCATGTCACACGGTAAAAACTTATAATTATTCCATATCATTAACTGCAGTAGCCAAAGTTATTGACTTTTATGTTATTTCAGCCGATGATAGCCCAACCTACAGCGTGCTGGAAAATTGACTGGGATGACCTAGAAAGGAATCAACAAACATTTCAAAGTCTTGTGCATGTGCTACTGGAAAAAGTATTGTACTACTTTACCTGTATCTTCGACGTATTGCTGTGTCTATAATAATGTTAAAGTCAAGTCCCGGTCTTACCCCGTCGAATTTTAACACTCAGAACATTTTTGATGTCTATATTTAGTTTATTTCAATTTTAAGGGTTTTCATAAAATTCCCGCGATGCGTAGTTTTTTTCCCAGAAATGATTTATCAAAGCTACAGTCATGCCAGGAAAAAATGTTTCAAATGCATTGACACAGTTTTGGCAGTGGAACAGGGATCCTTAAAGCATATTCTGGGATTTTTATGAATCACCTTAAGGATTTTGTTATTCGTTTTCGATTCCGATAGTACATCGCTAAATAGGTGTAGCTTGTATGATAATGTGTTATCAAAGTCAAAAAAGATATTTAAAATCGCATATTTCGATCCTTCTGTAACAATTTGGGGATGCATAAATATAATTTCAGATTTCAGTTTTAAACAGCGAATTGTTATCAAATAGTTCGCAATAATTTCATAAACCATTTTCACTACAACGTGTTTTTTTATGTCGACCAAATGAATCAGAGAAATATACATAAACAAGTTCTTTAAGAATTATGTATTATTGAATATAATTACCGACATATGATTTTGTATTGTCATCACAAGAAAGAACATATTGCATAGGTATTGATGAGTTCGAAAAAATCAAAGAAAATCAATAAAGCTTTAATGTTTTTGTCAATGATATGCAAGAGTTATTATTTCTTTTGGACAGGAAATGGTAATGATGGGTCAGCTGGAGAACGCCCTGCCCAACATCTCCACAAAGCGCTCTCACGAACAGAATGAGGACAAACCTCAAGGGTGTTTCGTGTTTTTGCCTGCTAAAAATGGAACCCTCCTTGTGAAATCTGTAGCAGCTAAAGAGTTACTGCTACCCTTCCAGCCACCTGCTGCTGTTGATAATTGGTCAGATGATACAATTCAGACGCTACAGTCATCTCTTGAGAAGGTATAGAAACGTCTGGACATCAGGACCCATGGTTACCTATCTAATTTACGATGGAAGGACATGAAACCTATGAATAATAGATATTTTCCAGTGAAAATTTACTTCAGTCCAGTGCAAGTTACGGAAGGATGAAATTTGTTTTCTTTAAAAAAACTTAAAATCAAACTATAAAGCATGTTGATCCTATTTCAAGCATTTAGCTGATGTTATTAGTCATTTGTATTACTCTTTTTGTTAAAAACGAAATCAAATTCTTCGAGATTTAAGTTAGTTGTATCTAAGATGAACAGTTATTTTAATGTACAAACAGAATTAACGGTGTCATCCTATTGCCCTAAGGTCGTTTTCTAGTCGGTTTGATTAAACTACATCATGGAGTTTTTGTAAAAAGGCGAAACATTTTAAATTGAATAAAGGATATCTCCGGCAATTGAGCCGTTAGATTTTCCTTCAAGGATAATATTTTTCCAGAAAAAAACAATAACGTCTGGCTAGCATCTAATGGTTAAATGTGTCAAGCTAGGAATATATCAGGAATTGAAAGTAAGTGAATGTAAGCGTTTTTGCTTTACTTTTAGTTGGAAGTGATTGACGTTTTCAACCCACTCCTATGGCCTTCTCGTCTCTATGAGTGTTTGAAGTCTAAACAAAAGAAGGCAGAGACCAGACAATCGAAGAAGAGACAAGATGATACAACGCCTCAGTCAGTAAGTACATTATCCATGTAAGAGTAGTTATTGAACATGTTTAATATTCAATAACATTGATTTATCTTGTTTCTATTCAATGTTGTTTTTTGCAGTTACAACAATATAGATTATTCGCTATTTAGCTGCATCTGTAATTTGTTTGATAGATTTGTAGCGACACTGACTGTAAACCGCAGTGCTTCTTATACAGCTTGCTTTAGATATTATAATTAGCACAAATAACGTCAAGACGTCTAACACTTTATAAAATGCTGAAATGGACAATTAACGCTATTATATATATGTATATAATCCCAATTGAAAAATTGACATAGTATTGTAAAGATGTCTCGTACCGTACATGCTGGTTTAGATCCATTTGTGTATTCTTATATAGATAAAATAATAATAATATACAACATTTGATATAGCGCCCTATCTAGCTAACATAAGCCACTCTAAATCGCTTTACAGTACATATATATACAATGTTATACAGTCAATACATGTTTAATATTAGCATATATATTAATCAATACAATATTGAGGAATTCGCAGGAGCTGCCTTATCAGGCGCTAACTACTAGTCCTATGCCACCTGGCTAATATCTCCCTTTGTGTGTATGCCTGCATGTGTGCTGGAGATGTATTGTGTTCTGTTTGTGGTGGAACCGTGCTTCCAACGGTATCATTTATAGTGCCACCTCACTTGAATGCTACAGCACAGATACCGCAACACCCACTGTTGATAGATACAGGATATACTTTTCTAGTCTTCTCTCTTCAGTCTATGTGTTTCTATGTGATACTGTTGCTGTAGTGATCGTATTGATAGGTATTACAAATAAAATTAAGGTTATTTTGATATCACGTATATCTTTCTCATCTTGACAGAGCTTTTCATACCTTTTTCAAACCGTTGTTTTAATCGATGGACATAACTATGCAGATTTAAACTTATCAAGTGTGTGTTGGTAATGATATTCATTTTAATTTTAATTATTTAATGTAAAAAGATGTAAACACATGTAACATTGGCTGTAGTATTCATTTCACATCAACCTTTTGTGTTATCTAATAGTTTTGTTACTATTCTGTTTTGTTATTGTTTAAGGCATCGACATCAGGTTCTGTTCCAAACCTCCAACGGAATAGGACATCCGTGTTTAACCCTCATGTTTCCAGTGCGAGAAATTCAAGTACTGCAGTGATGCAATCAAATACCGACAGGTTCCCAAATACATTTCGTGGAAAGCCGCTTTTACCGTTCCCTACTGACCTATGAGATGTTCAGTTCACAGTGGCATTCTGGGAAAACATCCAGCCATCGCCGTGCGTGTTATTGTGTGTGTTGTCAATTAACTATGCACAGTGATCAGTTTGTTTGTGTAGCGTAAAACATTGAATACATTGTTTTAAGACTACAACTGTTTGATAGTGTTCAAGGAATCGCACCAATTTTTATTAAGTTATTGTTAGAAAATACGATCGATGTGAATGATATTTGAAATCATGTAATGAGGGTAATTTTTTTTTTTTTATTTGAATGTTTGTTGGTTAATATGATGTGATTCATTTATAATCAATATATTTTCATTACCGCCTTTGCCTAGATTAATTCTGTGAATTGATTTAGTTGACATTTGGAATTGATTGAGCAGATTAAGACCTCAGTGAATCAAATTTAATTTGAAACTTTCAAACAAAGGAAAGATACACCATGGTTCTGCATTGCAAACGTGATAATATTTTTTTATTTTAAATACAAATTATAAAAATATAAAATTGTTTATTGTTATAAGTAGTACACACATAAATCCATATAGTAGTTAATAGATAAACAAGTTCTTGCGAAGGAAAATATAAAATAAAATGCCAAGTATACAAGACTGACCGCCATCAGCCTTGTATGGTTGTTATTTTATTATATATAAATATATATATATATAAAGGGCAAGGTAGTAATTACTTTCTTGCCACATATACCAATTTTTCTAATCCTACAAACATTCGTTTGCAAGGATCTAGTATTATTTGGGAAGTTACCGTGTGTATTACTTCTTGCACCCGTATATACATATTGATATATACTGTTTTTGTAATGTAAAGCGCCTTAGAAACGCTTGTTGCTAAATTGATTCTTTATCAACAATGTAAATTAATAAAAATTATGATTCTGTTAATGGCAGGTTAAGCCTTATTTTTTTCATTTCTGTACAGAGATCATTATATATTTTCATTTGTTTGATGGTTATCTCTTTTAATTCCAGAATGTTCGCTTTGTTTTCAGTTAAAAATAATTCCGATATACAAATATTTTGTTTCTGATATACGGCATAGTCCTTCTGTTTTAATAAACAGGGTAAAATATGTGATAATCAAATGGGTTCGTTCATCATAATTGAGAGCTACTTCGAAAGTGCAAAACTATACTAATCGCTAAACCTAACGGCATTAAATATTGACAAAAATGATATTCGAACAAAAAAATAATTTACATGGAGATCCTTGAAAACGAAAATGAAACCTGCGACAACCGGGGTAGGGACGTCGAAACAAAAAAGGTACACCAATGCCCCCTATTTTTTCATGCCGGTATGAACGCAAATCGATTACATCCATATTACATAGCGGGCTTTATGTTTAATATGGATGTAACCGATTCAAATTCATACCGGGCAAGCCCATTTTAAAAACGCCGTTCAATCCATATATTTACATTTTTACAATAGAACATTTGTTTTATAAAAGTCCTATTTAAATAAAATCAGCGCCAATAATTAACCGTAATCATTTGAGCCTTTGACGCAGAGGAATTATCCATGTTATCCTAAGCGAAACGACAAGACGCTAACTGAATAAGGTTAATCTATGACGTCATATAAGTAAACCATGTGTTACGACACGAGAGTGTTTGCTTCCTTACTCAAATGCAATGCATATCTACTGGCGATGTTCATATAGTGGATTGTAGTGCAATTGTTAATAAATCATAGAAAGAAATACAATGTAGTATATTTCCCAAAGACACCACAAAGGCAACCATAAAACTTGCCAGTAGTCTTCGTGAAAATGCATCTATAGAAAACATGTATTACATGCACATTTTAAAGTAGTTCAGTCGTTTTTGCACTCTACATGGTAACACTTTCACATAAAGTATCCTTCAAATAATCAGCGTGTTTAGCTTTAGTAAATATTAGAGATATTGTAGATATTTGCAAGCAAAACAACATTCAAGTTTGAGGAGTTACGATAGTGCAGAATCTGGAATAGATCCATATTCAACGCCAAATGTAAATCCATAAACATTTATAGGTGTCATGGTATCTATCGGACTCGCTTCGATTGCTCGTAAACTCCCTTTGATGGACGATTCTTTATTGTTACTCAGAATCCAATCGATAGCCTTACTGAGTTTACGAGCTTGTCCAGGATGCCCAAACCTCTCGAATTTGGTTCGTATAAATATTTGAAAAGGAAATGATACCTTTTATGGGTGAAATGCATACCTTTAAATCGAACAGATTCTGTGTAAATGCAAATTCAGACTTCACATATATGTATGACAATGGTACATGTCAAAGCGCTATGCCTTCGCTACACGAACGCTTAAGTAATACGTATGGTCAACTAGTGTTATTGGTTTGAATTTTCATACAATTATATAGCATGAAACAGCCTTCAAACACATGATTACCGTGTTATTCAGTGGAAACAACCCGGTTTTATTTTTAATACATTAACTTGATATTAGAGACATACAATGAAGTGTTATATCAAAAATATGATAATAACACTTGTGATATAGTATTCTATTACTCTGGAGACAAAAGATGTAGAGTCAAAACTGTCGGATGCATAGACTTCAAGAAAAGCCCAGAGCAGAGTTTTTTTTATTTAATGAATATTTGAAACAACTTGATCATATAATAGGAGTGAAATTCAACTCGTATTCTTTATATCAGTAATAAGTCGTACAAGCTGGAAAATTACCGAGATTTTGTTACGAAATCAAAGTTAAACAATGCCATTCGAAAGAGAGGGAGAGGGTGTTCTGACAGACCATATATTATACGTCTACACCATCTGCGAAATCCTCTTTTAGCAAGAGTCACCACAAGAGCGTTATATCATGAATACCGTGTTCATGAAAGTGACCAAACCATACGAACTCGTTGAAAATTCAGTCGTTTGTATCCTATTTGCAAGAAATCATCGAAATAATGTTCTCCATCAGGCTAATGTATTCTGCCTTTGGTTGTTTAGACAATAGAATCAGGGTCTTTTCACTGATGAATTGGTTGTCTATTACCCGTGCTTTGTGACAGAGAATTGATACCCACACAACGGTGGTAATCGTACCAGTCGACCCAGCACACCTGTCACCAGGACAATTCCAAGTCAAAATTTTGTCCAAATGGTAGATTGGCCTGCAAGATATCCAGATCGGTCACTTATAAAAGATACTAGGAAGTTCAGGACAAACGAGTACGAACCACCGAAATAAGCACGTTGACTTTCAGGAACTTGTTCAAGCGATGGTGAAGGAATGGAACACTTACTTCATTAGACGTTACACACTATGCGGCGCCGCATCAATCGCTTTGAAGTATGAATTGACTGGGATTTTCTAGGATGCGGCTCCTTGTAGACCAGCAAAACTATTTATTTAAGCATTTGATCTCTGTCAACTTCGAAAGACTACCGACTTCAGCAAAGTATCAAAGGAGCAATATCAAATGTATTAAAATAGAAAGTGACCTAATATCGTCCTTTTGACTAATTTTGTCGTCCCTACTGGGAAGCGGTTACAGAACGATGTTTTGTTGTTTTCCAACGATTATTATATTCTTCATACATGAACCTGCATGCAACTAGAATCGAGAGTAGCTATCCGGATACATCAACTGTAGCTTTATCTAGTATATAAACTTAAAAATTATCTTTGATTGGTTTTTTCCTCTGACTTCAAATAATATTATATTAGATATGTTACTAATCAGTGCAGTAGGGTAATACATGTATGTGTCTGAATTTTATAAGATGAAAATAGTACGCCACACATGAGTGTTTGTGTTTTTACGTGTCTGTAATCGCAGGTTAGTTAAATAGCAGTGGATGTGTCCTCGTATGCAGTTGTAATGCAATGGTAACTGCTTAAACGTAGCCTCAGTCATACACAGATTAACGAGTATTCAACTTTTGCTCCTGAATAACCTCTGTACCATGTTTTAAAACCATCGTCGGTGGTAATACGCACATTTAACTAGCAACTCTCTCGACATCCGGGACGATCGGTTAATTTCTTTACTACCGCCAGGACCAGAACTTTACAATTGCATTTTACATGCCCTAGATTGCTTTGCTTTTATGAACAGAGACTACTTTCCAAATACATTTCTCTTATAAATAATCTTTGCATGCTCATATGAAAATTGATTTGATGCAACCAAGCAATAATTCTATAATTGGTAAACACTAGCAAAACAATATCTTTACCATATTTTATATCTCTGTTAGAGCTCCGACACCAGCACACGAACAATAGGACGTTATCAGAGGCTTCAGACATAAGTCGTCGATCAGGACAAGTTGTATGAGCAGTGTACGTCGAACTGAGATCTGTACTTGTACACAGTATAACTACAATTCAGGTGGTTGAGTACTGATTACTTAGGGTCACGGAGAAAGCAATGCTAGGGAGTCAACAGATAACGAAGTCATTATAGTTTTTAATACATATATCAAATAATAGTACGATTAAGGTTTTCGAATTCCCGTTTTAAAATAACAGTGTTATAACAATACGCATCCTCCGAGGAGTAAAACATAATTGAAATTAAGAAGTATTAGATAATCCCTTTTATCACGCACATTCCTAAATGGAATTTAAAGTTTATATATCGTACTGCAAAACATTTTTAGTCTGAGACAAGCATTCTCATAACTTTTCAGGAAAATGATCGATAGACATAAAATAAGCCATGTACACCCTCTTCCAGTTTGGCAGTTTTATTACAGGCAAAAATGACTAGAAATATTAGCTGCTTATATCGACGCCATGAAAGTGCTTTCATAAGCAGATTAGGTTATTAATATGAGTAGTTAATTAATTGTAGGAGCTTGATCTCCTTACAGAGGAGAGTAGCGATGACAGATTTGATGGTCGCTAATTCTGCCAAATTGTCAGGGATGACAAAGGCAGCGATAGCTTGTGATGATTGATATTCTCGTTCATCACTATTGGCTACAACTAAATATCAGAATCATAGCGTGTTTGTATTGCAACAGTCTCGTTTCATTTCATGATTTAATATGTGAAGGGGCAGGTTGCTTGATTTTGCCTGTGGTGTAGTTTTCCTCTGTAGTATTTTCTTAAAATTCATTTTTTGTATCATTTCCTTATTTATTTAAATAACTATGCAATAATTTCTTATCGATACATTGTCCTACGTAATCATATTGAAGGAATCTTTCAGTATTACTTGTGGATTTTACTTGAAAACGCATGTGTTATCTGTTTTAAACATAGAAAACATGATAACTTAGGTAAATTGTTACGTTAAATGAAATGTAATTCCCTGAAAGATGAAAATATTGCTAAACAAAATTATCTTTGGAAGATGGTAAGACAGCAAGGTAGAAAATAATATTACAGCGTGGATTCACAAGGAAACAGTTGTAGGTAAAATCTTGGTTTGTGAAAGTTTGAGATTTTCCTGTACCTCTTGTTGCATCTGCCATGACATTTCAACTTAACTTTGTCGGTCAGTTACTATAGTTGTCCAATAAAAGATGTAAGACTATAAGGCTATGCTGCAAATTTGTACTTATGTGTTGAAGAGATCCAGGGAACCATTCCTTTTAGTGTTTTCGCTGTTCCTGATGTTGCATTTTGTTGCTTGAATTTGTTGACGCTTTGATATATTTGATTTCAATATTGGAACACTTACCAATACAGCAACTTCAAAGATGCAAGTGTTTGTGTGGGGCAAACTGATCATTTTTCAAAAGAGCACTGGGCGGGTAACCTGTGGCGTTCACTTTTTGTTTATATAGATACATGTACCAAAATGAAGAAAAACGCTATCACATAGTTTTGCAAGTGGATTTCCTATCGACGGTACAATATTCATAATCATTGGTGCATAATTAAGTTGTCAAAAACAACA